CGACTGTTTTGGAGCTTGGGGGTAGGTCTGCCTCGTGCCCAATGGGTTAAAGGCACAGGCCTAGTACTCTGTCGTGAGCTCATAGAAAGCGCCCTTAGGTCCAATAGAGCAAGATTCAAATTATCAGAACAAAAGGATAGATTTCAGTTTTCACCTCCTGCATCATTTGCACTAGCTCGTGCCCTCAGCGACGCATCTAATCTAATCTAATATATTATCTACTTTTGATACATATATTTATTTATTACGTTTTATGAATAAATAAAAAAAAATAGAGGAAAATCACTATGCAATAGATCATCAACGGCCCATTTGATATTTCTTAGCAAAAGGGACTTGCATTTTCTCAAAATGATTAAATCATCGACCTTAAAATTAACAAGGGAAAATGACACGAATGATCCTTGAACTTTAGCCAAATATGCAATGTGGTCCCTGAACTTTTAATTTATTTAATGTGGTCTCTGAATTTTAACCCAATGCTGCAATGTGGTCCATCAACTTTCAATTTATTCAATATGGTCCCTAAATTTTAAGTATATGTGAAAATATTCAATGTTGTCATTCCATTAATTCAAGTTCAAGGATTACATTGAACATTTTCATATAGCTTAGTAGCTAAATTGAACATATATCAAAACTTCATAGACTATATTGAATAAATTAAAAGTTTATGGAACACACTGCAGCATTGGGCTAAATTTCAGGAACCGTATTGAACAAAATTAAAAGTTTAGAGACTACACTGCATATTGAGTCAAAGTTCAATGACTATTTGCGTCATTATTCGAATTAACAACAGCAAAATCATTTTTTGCCACTTCAAAAAGGACAGAATTCGCAGTTTCATTAGTCGAAAAGTCAAACCTTTTCTTTTCTTTAAATTCCGCTTGCTTTGATTTTCTACAGCATTGCCGAGGTGCTTGCTGGAATCCACGGAAGATTTTGTGAGACCTAGGGTGCATTTGGCAACTTGCCAAATAGTAACTGATTCTGTTCTTTTATTCCCAGAATCAGTTTGGGAATAGAAATCCGTTTGTTAAATTTTTTGTGCTGGGGCACAATTTTGCAAAAAATTCTGCCCAGAATCAGCTTTGGAATAGAATCAAGAAGAAAAAAAAAGTAACTTCTTGATTTTGGAACAATTTTTCCGGAACTGATTCTTCTTGGTTTTCTTCCTTTTTTTGGTTTGTTGTTGTTCTTCGGCCCCGCCACCCGCCGACCACCGGCTGCCGGTGACCGGCCATGGCCAAGGAAGGGAGGGGAAGGAAAGGACAAAAAAAAGAAAAAAAAGAAATATGAAAAAATTCAAAATATTATTAAAATATTATTAATAAAAAGAAATTTTATGTAGTTACCAAACGCATTTTTGTTCTTTTTCTATTCTAAGAACAGAAATTTTGAGCAGTTACCAAATGTCTTCAAATACTTAGAAATTATTTCCGGGCACGGAATAAAAAAGAATCATTTCTGCCCAGAATCTGTTTCTGGACACAGAATGATTGCCATGCGCAGCCCTATTCAATTCACAAAATTTAACTCCTTCATCGATTTTTTATATTGTCTTCCGGGTATCAATATAAATTTCTTATTTTAAATCAGCATTGGGCGATTTTTTATTCTCCATTTGATGAATTAAGAAGTTAACTATATAAGGTAAGGCGGTCATTATTCCGATTGATGTTAACTTAACTATCTCTTTTACTATACCATATAGACAAATATTGCCTTGTAAAGACCTATAAAACAGGTGAGTTGGGTTGGGTTTGGGTCAGGTTGAAAATGGCCCAACCCATATTGACTCATAACCATGCAATCCAATTCTGGCGATCCATGCTCGACCCAACCCGTACCCGACCTGGCCGATATTGATAAAAAAACTTCAATATTAATCTAATTTAGAAAAATCGTTTCTTGTAAACTTTTAAAAATATATATGTTTTAATCAATTTTTATAATTTTAAAAAAAATTCTGATTTTTTTTATAATTTTTATTTTTTTCCTTTTCTTTTCTTTTTTTTCTTCTACTTCCGGTGACGATTGGCGACCAGCGGTAATTGGTGGCCGGTGGTGACCGGCAATAGATAGCGGCATCATACGACCAGCGATTGGGAGTTAAATATGGGTTATGAAAACAACCTATCATGATCAATTATGACAGACTTTGTTTTTTCATTAACCCATTTTTTGCCCACTTTTTGCTAAATGAGTTACCTGTTTTAGTAGGGGCCCATTAAAATACGAGTTGCAAAATGGGTAGGTGCTAGCTCTACTTGTACTCATCGATGTGTACCATGGTTTTATAGTTTTTCCTTTGGGGATAAGTGCACAACAAGTCCTAAAACTTGTCACAAAAGTGCATTTGAGTCCTAAAACTTGCAAAAAGTTCATTTGAGTTCTAAAACTTATCAAAATGGTTCATTTGAGTCCTAAAGTTAACATCGTTAGATTTACTAACGGAAAACGCTGATGTGGCGCTGACGTGTCATTTTTAATTATTTTTCTTGAGACACGTGGCGCCATGTTAGCAAAAATAAAAATAGAAAAAGCTGTAAAAAAACCAAAAAAAGGAAAAAAAAAAAAAAACAGAACCAGCGGTGGCCAAGCTCGACGGTGGCCGCCGCCACAGCCACCAGGAAGGACCGGTGGAGGTCGCCTGGGCCTTCCCGAAGCCCGACGACCCTCGCCGACCCCAGGTGAGTGCCCGGCGACCCTCGCTCAGATTTGGGGCCAGGGTCGCACCCTCCCCCAGATCGAGGGCCGCCGGCCCTCGCCGGGCACTCGCCCGGGGCCGGCGAGGGTCGCCTAGCTCCGGGAAGGCCCAAGCGACCTCCGCCGGCCCCGTGCAAGTCCCGGCGAGGGTGCGACCCTCGATCTGGGGGAGGGCGCGACCCTCGCCCCAGATCTGAGCAAGGGTCGCCAGCCCTCGCCGAGGACTTGCCTGGGGCGGCGAGGGTCGCCGGGCTTTGGGAAGGCCCGGGCAACCTCCGCCGGCCCCGTACGAGTCCCCGGCGAGGGCGCGACCCTCGATCTGGGGGAGGGTGCGACCCTCACCCCAGATCTGAGCGAGGGTCGCCGGGCCCGGAAGGCCCGGGCGACCTCCACGGTCCTTCCTGGTGGCCGTGGCGGCGCCGCGGCTTGGCCACCGCCGGTTCTTTTTTTTTTTTTTTCCTTTTTTTGGTTTTTTTACAGCTTTTTCTATTTTTATTTTTATTTTTGCTGACGTGGCGCCACGTGTCTCAAGAAAAATAATTAAAACTGACATGTCAGCGTTTTCCGTTAGTAAATCTAACGGTGTTAACTTTAGGACTCAAATGAATCATTTTGACAAGTTTTAGGACTCAAATGAACTTTTTGCAAGTTTTAGGACTCAAATGCACTTTTGTGACAAGTTTTAGGACTTGTGGTGCACTTGTCCCTTTCCTTTGTTACCCATTTTGTACCTAAGATTGTAGCGTCGGGAGGAAGATTAGCTAACGACGATGTTTTATATGTCAACACTCCCCTTGTGGAAAGATAAATTTGACGACGAAGGCCTCAGGCGCGCATACCAGGTGCTTGAGAGCGAAAGAATGTTTGAAACCCATCGCGCATAATGAAAGGGAAATGGTCGAAAGAGGGGTGTGATGAATTGAACCGGATATCTTTGGGTCATGTACCAACTAAATTTATACGTGCAATCGTTTTATTAACTCGAAAAGCTTAATTTGTTAGCATGAGGTACGGAATATATTTTTTACTTAACACCATTTTCATTTTTCTTGTACATACATCCAATATATAGTACCGTCATAACTCTTTGGACAATCTTTTTCGGTCATAATTTTCAAATTACATATTTGATTCAAAGACTCGCTTCTAAGTGCATTGCTCCTCTTAATTAGGAAAGATCCTTTAGAAGTGGAAGGATTTTGTTCATTGATAGCTTGTTCATTGATAGCTTGTTTTGCATCTTTCATTTTTGCATGTTTGGAAAATTGCAAGTATGCTTTATTATTTAACTAGTAATATTATCCATATTTTGCATAGATTTTCTCCATTGCAGTCATTGTATATTATATATATCAATAATTTGATACACTAGATACACTGGAAGTATATGCCATTTTATTTTTATGAAAGAGGTTCTTTGCCCATGCAGTGCATGATTTTAAAATTCTTTTTGGTAAATTATGATTTTAATTTCGAGATTTGCTTATTTTGGTTTGATTGTGTACTTTTTCAAATAGAGAGGAAATTGATTAAAATGAAAAAGGCAGAGTAATATAGACCAACATATTTTGAATGCTTAATAGTAGCCATCTTGCTAGACTTCAATTAGAAGATCCAATCTTTTATTTAACTTCACCAACTTTTCTCTGTGTTAATAATTAGTTTTCTTTTAGCAATTTTATTTACCTTTCTTAATCACGCCTTAAATTTACCAGCTCTTATATGGTAGTTTCATTGATAATGTATGTTCCAACTTACCATTTCTAGTTATCATCTATGTTAAATATATTAAATGTACAATAGTATAAGAAAATGCTTGCCCAATGACCTTTATGGCCCACAAATTCCTTTCTCGGAAAACCAGATGACTATAGATCAAGCAATCACAAAGTCGTTCAAAGTTTTGGTAAGTAACGATTTGCTATGGACTATGTAACTTTTCCATGGGAAACAGATAATTTGCTCTTCTAATTCGAGGAAAGTTGCAGCGTTTTAGAATACTATCCAGTTTTAGACAACGGAAGTCGTGACATGTGATTATAGTCGTACTTATAAAGCACCGTTATTCTCTTAGATAATAGCGACAGTTATGCTAGCCGGCGTCCTATATTACCATTTATATAGATATAATTAGCTACATATACAAAAAAAATACATATTTCCAGAACATATAGAAACGGGGAGGGACGAGGCTTAAAACCCGCCGGAAGATCCGACCCGTATTCGATGGGAGCGGACCGGACCCGGTCCATCTCGGATCTCCTCATATGGGCCTGAGCTTCCAGCTCTCTCTCTCATCTTCTTCCTCCGACCATCTTCCGTCCCCACCCGCCTGCGAATCCGCATCAAACCGAGCGGAGGAAAATTCGCACGGAATCGAGCTCGCTCGGCGCAATTCCCACTCGAATTCTCGCCGCCGCCGCCGTCCTCCTCCTCCTCCACCTTCCCCGGAGCGACGGGAGCCGCCGCCGGTTAGGGTTCCGCCGCCGGCGTCGTCCCCCCTCCCGCCTCAGCTCGAGCTCGCCGGTGCTCGCTTCCTCCGCTTCCGTCGGGAGCTGATTCCGCGGCTCGTTCCGGGCCTTGAAATTCCCCTTCGAGCTGCGGTCGCGGCGGAGCATCATTGCTCGGAGCTCCCGCGATGCGCGGGCTTTAGTAGCCATTTGGTGCGTGCCGTGGAGCTTGGGGCCTAGCCGTTGCCGGAGGAGCTTCGTCGTGCTGGAGTGGGAGTGATGTGGACCAATGTCTTCAAACTGGTGCGTGCCTTCCGATGCTCCGTTCGTTGGGTTTTCTTGTCGTTGTTTCGATGCCGGAGTCTTCGCGAAGTTAATTCTTCCGTGTTCCTTCTTATGGTTCCAGTGATGTTGGATTGGGAATTGTTCCGTTGTTTAGAATTCTGTGCGTGATTCGATTTTTACCGAGTTACTGAACAGAGTGTCGTGTGCCTTACGGCGGAGAGTTTGTGTTGTTATACACGTCTGCTTTTAAAGCCCTGTCTTACGGTCAGTGCGGTGGGAATGTCTATGTAGTTAAGAAGCTTCGAAGCTTAGTTTACTGCTTCTGGTATAGATACAACTAACTCTGCATGATTACTGACCGAATTCAACTATGCGCTGTCTACGTATAATAGTGCAAGAAGCTTTCCTTTTCGGTTTTGTTGCGTTGGACCTTGCTCCATTTTAATTTCTTTTGTTTGGGTTGGGGGGGGGGGGGGGGGGGGGTGGTTTTTACCTGTTGACCATTTAACGAAGCCCTCGAAACTTGCTCTGCACCATACTGATTAATATGTGTACAATGTAAAACTTGATTGTTGGGTTCTGAAATGGCAAAAGCTAAGAATTTGGTATTTACTTTCTATATATTAAGTCCACGTATTTAATTCCAGTTAATAGTTGAATCTGAACAGGGTTAACAGCCTTGTTACTTGAAGGAAATCGAGAAATTTAATCACCCATGCCATGCCTCTGATGCTTACACCCCAATATCCCTTTTTGTTTCGATCTATTTGATGTCTGTGATGTATACTAAGTCAAAAAGAGTAAGAAGTTAAAAAATCGGGAGACATTGGGAGGTTTCCCAGTAAATTTGCCTTTAATCCGTTGCGGATGAATGGGAACACATGAAGGATTATGAGGAAAGAAGATTCCCGCTATATAGGTCTTAGATGTGTGGAACATATGGTAATTTTGCAGATTCAGTTCAGAGATTTTGATTGCCGGCTTTCTCTTACTTCTCTCTAGAAACACTTGCTGATTTGTCAAAATTGTCAACACTTGTAGCCTAAACCTCACTGTCATGCTTTCCACCAGCAACCCATCCACTTGCCTATGCAGTAAGAAATAAGTTTGAAAATTATCAAGCTTCTTTTATTCATCTTTCTCCAATTACTTACCTTGAGTAAGTTTGCCGCTACCTGAGAATACTTTCTCATATTTGATCTCCTGGCTAGAATAGAAATCTTGTTCAGGAAGTCGCAGTTCTGCTGGTGCTCTTCCTGCCATCCTGGCTGTCTTGTTTAGTTGCCTGTTTTTATTCCTTTATCCCGATCGTTTTGCTTGGGAGGATATCTCAAAAAATGTAGTTGTATGATGCAATGCATATTTATGATGAGTTGTTGTTGATTCTCAAATGGTCTTGTCTTGTTTAGACAAGATGAACCAATAGTGCTAGTGGTATTGAATGGTGCTATTATCTGAGTAGTTATTTCAGAACCTTTTTCTATAGGTATTACCTCATGATTCGTCCATTTGTCTTGCCACCTTCCACCTAGTAATTTCGCGCATGATAGACAAAGTGTTTAAGAGAAAGAACTAGGGAAGTGCAACATGACATGGTGAAATAATTTACTTTTTGGAGGGACATGATCATTTTAAGCTTACTTAGTTGAATCAGTATCTTCCTGACTTGACTTCTGATTCTTTTTATGTGGAAGATAAGTCAATTTCCTTCCCCATGAAGAGGGCATCGAGGGATCTATCACGTTTTCTACGAATCTTTTTTTTTTTACAACATAGCCTACTAACAGATACTGGGAGTCAAAACACTTCTTGGAATCTATCAGCTGCTCTATGAGTAGATTAGTCTCAATATATGCTGCTAGTGCATGCGTCTTTGTTTCTGCCTGCCTTCATGTTGCTTCTTCATTATGTGTCCCTTCCTTGCGTAGATTTCGTTTTCACATTGATTAATACAGGTTGGTCTCCATCAATTATCCTGGTTCCAGTTTCTGCCTCTTGAATCAGAGTTAAACCCTTTACCAGACAGAAGGTTAGACTCAGGCTGTCTCACACACTCTTTCGAAATGCCAATATACTAATGTTAATCTAGATGTGCAAGTGCTTTACTAAAAGTTTTTCTGATATGTCTAATGTACGATTTTCTTTATATTGGATAGCGTCAAGTCAGAGACAAAGGATTCTGCTACTTTCTTGGTGCTTTCATCTCATCTTCAGTTGCAGAAGAAAGGCTTTCTTAGCACATGGACTAATTCATTTGTGGGACCTTGGGATCCATCTCAGGGTTTGCACAATCCAGGTGAGAATGCAGATGCTTTGAGATGGTGGGTTTTCAGGTTAATCCTGGTTATATAAAAGAAAATAAAGGAGATACATTTTTCGCTCTGTTGCTTCTCAAGGAGGACTGAGAAGGCTGTCATCTTGCTTATGCAACTTCTTTTCTCCAGCAAGAGTGTCTGTAAAACAATGGCAAACTCTTTCTTTGGGCAATTCTATGTTCAGTTCTTGTGCTTATTACATCTGGATTCTTCTCTATCAAGTATCTTGAGCCTTAAAAAATGATGCCCAACTTGAGAAATTTGGAAAAGTAATCCTGGATTTCTCGGCTGTGGTTTGAGATGGCAGTTTTTAGGTTGACCTAGTTTTAGTTTAAAGTTCTTGAGGTGCAACCTTCCCAATATGCTTTTAGAGTAGGAAGCAGTTGCCTTTTAGGTTTTGTTTGTGACTGTTTGATCACTTGGTGTAGGTTCTTGTTCCACTATACATATTTTGCTTGAGGCTTGAAAAAAATTGCAAACTAAATACTGCAAGGTTTTTACCCAGAAAGTCATCTTCCCCCCATCAACCCTCCATTCCTCCTTTGTTTCTATGGTTATGTAATTGCTCTAACAGCTTAAAAAAATTCATAGATGAAAAAATCAAGCTCTGGCTTTTCCTTCCTGGGCGCCACTTATCTGTTGTCGAGACTGCACAAGCAGCAGTATCTGGACTAAGAGGTAAATTGAGTTCTCCATAAACACTGATATATCAGTTTTACTTGTGTAGCTTTCTTTTCATTGACCTCTATAGCTTCAGATTCATTTTCTGATGTTTGTGTTTGCACTTTAACTTTACGAATGTACTTGCCTGTTCTCTCTGTTTGTATTTGTTTCTAGGAATGAGGTTGTTGGCAGATATAGAATTTCTTGGTTTTTTTTTTGTGCGAGGGGTTTTATAGTTTCTTTTCTTTGTTGATGGAAGTTGTGGCATCTGGACTATGGTTGGCTCCTGGGGACTCAGAAGAGGTTGCAGCAGCTCTGTCTCAAGCTCTACGGAATTGTATAGAGAGGTTACTCTCTTTCCAGTTAACTGTAACAATATAAATGTGTACCTATGTATGTACAAGTACGTGCATGTAGACGCATGCACCTACATCCGCTTGTGAGGGTTAGAACTTGACACTTACCTGGTTGAATTTGGCAGGGCACTGAGTGGACTTTCTTACATGAGATATGGAGATGTATTCTCAAAGTACAATCCATTTCAGAGTGAAGGAATTTTCAGGTATTCATACTTTCTTCCCCAGTGAGCTTTTGCTTCCCCTTTTCGTTGCACTCCCGTTCCATCCTGTTCTTCTGTTCTTTTTGCTCCTTCTCTGCTAAGTCTTTGGTAGGACCACTGGAACATGATCTATCATCAAACTGTCGGTTGGTAATTGCAGGAGAGGTCAACCAACAGTGGAATTTGTCTTTGCTGCCACAGAAGAGGCGATCTTTGTACATGCAATAGTTTCGGCAAAGTATGTACACTCATGCCTTGATTTTCATTTCTCATTTCTCCTTTGATAAACATGTATGGTGATTGTTTTTACCTGTACCAGGCATATACGTGCCCTTTCAAGTGATGATTTGGAGAGAGCATCGAGGCATGCTTCTCGCAATTCTAGCCATAGACATCCAGGTTAGAACTTATGGGTATTGGATATCTCTGGTGATTTTAGATCTTTATCTGGCATATAATTTTAATTCCTTGCATCTGCATGGTCTTAATTACATAAAAGATGTGTTACGGTACTGATAAGAATGAGAAATGATAGCATCAAGATAATTTTTTTTATTTGTAATTAATCAAGTGCCCACTTACGAAGTGATGCTTGCTCCAGATAATTAATGCAGTCTCTGGTTTTAAGAGTCTGCTGGCCCGATATTCTTCTCCTTGCTATTTATTGATGAGCACAAGCGTTAACAGATGGAATTTATAAAGCTCAGTGATCAACCACAGATAAATCAATGGTGATGTAAAAAGCTATGCTTTTAGAATCAGACAGAACCAACTGGATGAGCTAATTGCACAGGAAATTGTCTGCACCTATGTCTTGTTCTGCTCATAGAATCATCTTGGTAGAAAACCAGATCTAATCAAGTTTGACCTCGTCAAACTTGTAATGGTCAAGCTAGTTTTTTCTGGTTTGCACCAGTGTTACCAGGATCACTGCTCCCCCCCACCAAACAACAATCTGGTATGGGGGATGCCAAATGTGGTGCATTCGTATCTTAATCTCTACTTCTGGAAATTTTATTGCAAGCTAAAAAACCTTGGACTCTGGAAACAAAATCGTAACGTCCCCATGCCCCTCCCGCGTGGCGACATTGGGGCGAAAAGGGGAAGCAGGGGGAAGGGGTTTCTCTCGCTTTTGGCATAGCAGGCCCCAACGAGAGGACTGCACGACGGGCTATCAGCTCAATGGTAGATCCTCTTCCCCAGGGATCCTAGATGAGGGAACCCTAAGAGAGCCGCCGGCTCTAACTACCGTCCATGTACGATCCATACTAAATCTAACCAACTGCCCATCTTACCTCCTCTATGTTCTTGACAACCGATCTTTGTCTCAGTAGAGTTTTTAGTAGCATGTTTCGGTCTTCTTCCCCTACGCTCATCACAAAATATTTCTAAATCCCAATACACCCAATGCCAGATGGAGCAAGCCAACCAGTCTTGGGGTGGTGAGAAAGAAGAAGAAGAAAAAGAAAAAGAAAAAAAGAAGATGGGGAGGGGAAGTCGTGCCGGGGGGCGGTGGGTTGGGGGGGGGGCGCACTTTTAGAATAGACATTTCATCCTTTTCTATTGATAAGACAATCGGAACAAAAGAAGGGCTTGTGGGCTCCTCATTTCTCTTTATTTTAAGTTCTTTCATTAATATAAAAAGTTCTTAAGCCCAAAGCAATTGAAGTGTAAAATCAAATAGAAAGATGCAGTCATAAAAGTTTAGTCTGCATAAAAATTTAGTTCAGCCCGTTCATACTTAGTACATGAAATTTAAAAGGGGAAGGGTGTTATGTATGAAAGAACATGCACAATGATTTTATGAGCAACCCGCCTTGAACTTACTGCAATCCCAACTAGCAGACTGTCTAAGCCTACCTCTGTGTTTCGTGAACTGAGGAAACTAGCATTCCGCAAACTCGAATATCGTACTACTTAGCATAATGAACTGTGGTCCAGGTAACATTCATTTGCATGCCTGCGGTAGAAAGAATTAGTAATTGGTGAAAAGGGATTCGAGGCCTTCCCTCCAAGCACTGGTGTTTAAATCTTTTTATTGGGTTATTATTTGAGAGATAATTTAATATACCCTTTCTTTTGATGGAATTAGTATTAATGTATGAATTTTTGCTTTTTAGTTAGAAATATCTGCATTAGGACATTGTTAATTAGTTTCCTAAGGGAACTTGTTAAATCAGTTGTATACAGTGAGATGCTATTAATAATAGGGAAGTCATTGGAGAAGAGTAAAGTAAGTGGATGTACACATCCTGTTGCTTTTTCCATTCAGCTTTAGCAATGGTCTAAGGGCATTGGTTATCAAAATTTCTTGTATTCATACTTTCATCAAGCATTGGCGGTTAGACCGGTTGAATTGTCATCCCTCTCTTTCATTGGTTTTATGCTTCTCCAGTCCCATAAGTAGTGATATGGTGAATTAAATCAGCATTGGTAGCCTTGTGATAAGGCAAGATCATGTAATGCCTCTAACACATGTTAGATGAGACAAAAGAACATGCTTGGCTGGTTAATAATGTACATGTATTTGCAATCTTCTTGCTTCAACTGGCAGCATTTTTAAAATCTGCACTGCATTCTTACCCTGTTAATCAATCTTCCATGTAAGCTTCAATTATTTGCAAAGAGAGAATTTCTTTCTTTTCCTTCTGTTCAAAAGCTAGATTAGCTTCATTCAGAGTTCCTGTGAAGGTGTGGAAACTATGTTTTCTTGAGAAGGTTCATCTTTGTTAGGATATCCCTCAATGCTTGTCTATGGGATTTCAACAGCCCTTGTATTTATGTATCTCCTTCCACCTATCACCTTAAACTTTTGGGTTGGATGTTTTAATATGGTATCAAAGTCAGGTTTTGCCCCGAATTTATTTTGCATACGAGGCTTCTTGTTGTTCAATTCCACGTGCAGTTCACAGAATGGTTTGTCTGTAGGAGGGGGTGCTAAATATCCCACATTGTTTGTCTATGCGTCTTCAATGGACCTTACAATTATACAGTCTCCTTCCACCTATCAGCTTAAGTTTTTTTTGGGTTGGATGTTCTAACAATCATCCGTAATTGTGCTTTTGACATGATTTTAAGTTTGACAACATTTGTTCTTCACTTCATAAGTAGGTGCGATGATTGGACGGCTTCTGTGATAATCTATATTAACTGCAAGTATCATCGTGTATCATCTCCCTTGGCATCTCAAAGCCCATTGTTTAATTAATGAGACACCAAGCAAGGATGTTATTGATTGTGTTACTGTGATGTTTATTGGTGATGTCTTGGAGGATGGACAGTTATTGAAAAGCTAAACAACTTAATAATTCATTAAAATAACAAAAAGGGAAATGATCATCATAGAATTTTGGTTGGGAGATACTTGAGAAATATCCAAGTAGGCTTCTGCAATAACTGTTGAAATGAATTTTCACGTGCATGATCATTTTTGCAGTGATTGTATCTCCTAATGGCATGCGTGGAAGGCTAATTGGTGGATGTCCAAGTGATCTTGTCAAGGAAGTATACCTCGGGTAGACTAATTGGAGTTACATCTAGTTTACATTCTTGTTTCTTTGTTTTGATGACGATAGTCCTTGATGCTAATCCTCTGCATCTTCTGTTACTTTTGGACAGCTCTGGCAAGTCGAAGGCCTCGAGTGGGTTAATAGGTTTACCGTCTCATGTTTCTCAAGGTTTTAGTTGCCAACTGAGGGGACAAACTTGTTACGCTGAAGTAACTGTTGGCTGCCCAATTACTGAAACTGACAAGGCATTAGCTCAAGGCTCAAATACTCTTAGAAGCGAATGCCTTCCTGCAGGAAGATGCGATCAGAAGGTCTCTCAGGATCATTCATCAACTTACGAGAAGACATTTATATACCCAAATGAAGCAGTGCTTGTCCCAGTCTTAAACGCATCTCTTACCAGATCTTCATTGAGAAGGTGCACACTAGTTTGCCTAAAAGTTCCTAGCCTCCTAGGTTTTTTTCCTTTTTATGTTTCTAATTTTAAATAGCCAAATATATCTGATCTAGCAGTCAGTTTCAGTTGGACTCGTCTAGATATGTGTACGGCTGCATATCCATATTGTATCTCTTTCTGACGACCTGGAATTTTCACCATGTGTGGAGTTTGCTCTCCTGCACCAACTGCTTAGTGCACAGCTTTCCTTGCATGTGCTAGATGGCCTCCTGTTAGAATGGTCTAACGGAGATATCTGCCTAGCTTGAACCCATATTGGTCATTGTCTTTACATCAATTGAGTCACTCTATGTATCTGTGATTTTTTGATGTTGCAGATTTTGGCTGCAGAATTGGTTAGGGCCATCACTGATGGGTTCATCTTACTTTATGCATTGGTGAGTCTATGATTCATGTTTTGAGTTTGAGTTTCAATACATCACCAAACAAACTTGAACTTGTTAACTATTAGCTCTCGTACGCTTTTCTAGTTAAGATGAGGACACAACTTATTGCAATATATGTATGTAAATATATTGCTTTGGACCGTGATTTATTTGTTCTATCGTATTAGAAAGGTCAGTTTATGAATTCAGGCACCTAAGGGGTGCCAAACCATCAGTAAAAACATAGGTTTTGTTTCTTTTGGCATCTTTATCCTGCGTTAATATTTTAGTCCTTCGGTTCATCTTATAAAAAGAATCTTAGATGCAGAAAACAAATATGTTTTACCTCTCTCATCACTGTCTTATCTTTTGCAGCGGACCACATATGGACACTCTCGAGGATAGCAATGGATTACGCACTCAGAAAAGTTATTATAGTAGTAGCAATAGCAATTCTAGCAGCTTAAGCAGCGTAAGCAGTAGCTCAAGTGAAAGCGACTACAATATGACTTCTGCAGCAGGAGATCTTGAAGCAGATGCAGACTCATTGATATCTTCTGCTGACTTGCAGAATGACCGCCAGAAAATGGTATAAGTGCTATGTCCTTACTTTTCATACTGTTATTTATGGCCTGAGACCTGAATCCTGTCATCTCAAATTGTCTTAGCATGGACATGCGACTGCTTATCCTAATATCTCGAGCCATCTAGCATTTTCTCTACATTCATATCTGTAGGGCCATTTTGTGGATCATATATACACTTGCGCGTGTTTCTTTCGCCTCCTTCTTTTTGGCCAAATTCATTTTTGCTTAGTTAGGCTCCGTTTGTTTCGCGAAAAATGTGATATTTCTGGAAAATATTTTTCAGGAGGTCATTTTCTAGAAAAATAACAATATTTACCAGTGTTTGGCTGAAACCTGAAAATGAACTAGAAAATATTTTTCGCCGTTTGGTATGGAAAATCTGATTCGATTTTCCTCTGTGCACTTCTTTTAATAATTTTTTATTTTATTTTATCTTTTTTTTTTAAATTCGAATTTTTAATTTTTTTAATTTTCTTTCTTTTTCTTTTTCCTCCTTCTTCTTCGACAGCAATTGGCCACAGGCAAGCTTGAGCCTCACCAGATCAATGAACTCGAGCCTCATTTGCCTTGGGCGATCTTGTCCCTCGCCTGTGGCTGGTTGCCGAAAGAAGGAAAAAGAGAAATTTAAAAATTAAAAATTCGATTTCTTTTTAAAAAGAAAAAAGAAAAATAAAATAAAAAATTAATGAAAGGAGTGCAAGGAGGAAAATGTGCTTGGTTTGGGTGAAAGAAAAAGGAGGTAAAATGATTTCGTCTTTTCAAAAAGAGGAAATCATTTTCCCCACTTTTAAATGTGTTTTTTCCATTGACGGAAAATGTTTTTCTTGACTAATTTATTTTCTGTGAACCAAATGCTGGAAAATGAAAACCTTTTCTTGGAAGTCGTTTTCCGTGAAACAAACAGAGCTTTAGAGTGTGTATGTGTGCATGAATACGTGCACATGTATGGGTGTGTGTGTGTGCTTGTGCACTCGCGTCGTTTTTAATTTGAGGTGAGGGGCGGGGTTGGTGTGGCTTGCTGTGTGTGTGTTGTACATATTGAGAGAACTTTAAAATTTTTGCATCTAACTTATTTTGCTGCTTATCCGTCCAACTGTAAAATCTGTCAAGAGATGTAAAATAAAAACGAGACCGAGTTTATCTTGTTATTGGAATTATGTGCACTTGCAGAGGAAAAGTGGGCTTTGGGAGGGAGGGAGTATATTTTTAGTACAATTTTGCTAAGATTTTAGTGCATGTGTATTTTCTTATTTTTGTAAATCTCTGTTTGAGGGAGGGAGGTATATTTTTAGTACAATTTTGCTAAGATTTTAGTGCATGTTTATTTTTCTTATTTTTGTAAATCTCAATTTGAGGGGAGGTATATTTTTATTGTCCAAGTAAGAGAAATGATAGGATGCCAATGATTCTTAAAATTAATGCTCTTGTCTATTCTGTCACTGATGTTTTGGATGACCGCCAAGTAATTATCATTTATTTTAAACTAGGGCACAAAACGTCCTAGATCGATGATAACAGAAATGTATGGTCAAGTGGACGCTGCTGTTCCTATGCAAGAAGCATACAAGTCCGATTTTGGATCTTCAGAAGTTAACACTTCAGCAATTACTGGAGTTGCTAATGAGCAGATAGGATCTCACTGGGATTGGGATGACGACGATAGAGGTGTGGCCATGGATATTCAAGCTCTGTTATCTGAGTTTGGTGACTTTGGGGACTTCTTCGAAACTGATGCTTTGCCTTTTGGAGAGGTACATATTAATTTCTGTAAATTCCTTTTCAACTTTGTCATATGCATTAGGTAGTTAGAGTTGCTTATTCTCATATGCTTGAGTACACTAGTAGGTCTCTTCTGTGGAGTTTTTTGTTTTTTTTTAGTGAGTATGTAAATTTCCTTCATTTTCAGACAATTTTTTCACTGTCATGGTTGCTGTCCCATTTCCTTTACAATTGAGTAATCTTTTCTGCTTTTACTTGACATGCGGTCTATTTTCAATCAATATTGTGAAAATCGAGGTAGATGTTATGCTCTTCTTGATGAATATATTTATAGTTTTACAAGTATTAGGAATATTATTTTGTGACTCTGGTTAGGAGAAAAGAGTATTACTTTTCAATGCCATTTTAGCGTCAGTTTCTAGGTAGCAGCTGTTAGATGTGTTGCCCTTTGTCTTTGTATGCTCACTGAATCATCATGTCAATGTGATTAAGTATCTTTGAATCTCGTTGTGAAGCCCCCAGGAACTGCAGAGTCCCAGACTCTTATGTTTTCTGGTTCAGATTTGGTAGTCGGCAGCAGTCCTGTTGGCGTGATGGATGTTTCAGAACATATGCTTTTGCCCGTTGGTTTTCCATCTTTAGAGAGCTTTAATCCTCCAGCGGTGTCAGAAGAATTTGTCAGCAAAAGTCAAGAGATTACCCTGCCATCTGGGCCAATTGTTGAGACTCCGGCATCTAATATTGGCGAGTTTGATCATATCATCAAAGTTGAAGCCTTGATGACATTTGCTCAAGAATATGGAGCAGTTGAGGCACCTACTAGTGACTTCTCTTCGTCAATTTTCAAAAACCCATATGTGCCAAAATCTTGTAATGTGGAGAGTGCAAATTCTAGCACTAATAATTATAAGTATGGTGCTACACCTCCATCTTCTCCTTGTCTGGATGGATCAGATGAGAAGAATGGTGTGGCTTTGACCTCAAAAACGTATCAGGGGAATGATGCTCGGTTAAGGAATTATTACACTCATGTGGAGGCTGGTAAAGTAAAAGATGGGACGCTGTCTAAATGTAACGATAGTAGTGCTATTTCTATGGAGGCTGCTCCATCTTCAGTTTCATTCTCTAATGTAGGTCCTGCAAATGTTGTAAAGCCTGTCCAGAAGAAAGTGATCGAAGGTACCATGGAGCATTTAATTCTTTCTATGAAGACTGTGCTTGCAACAGAAGTGGAGTGTCTTGCATTCCAAGCTTCCATGTGCAAGATACGTCATACATTATTATCTTCCAGTGCCCAAGCGCCAGTAACTTCAAGCAGGTTAAGTGGGAGTGCTATTTTAAATCATCTGCCTGGTGAGCAAAGCACAATGACAGATAACATATCTAGCATGTTTGAGGTGAAGAAGAAAGAATCTATACCTGTCAGAATAGCTGGTGATGTTGATGGAGGACTATTAGATGGACACCTCAATGCTCCTATACGTGTTTGGCGCACTGTTGGAGTTCCTAAAGTTCCAAAACCTTCTAGTTCGCCTGGAATTGAAGTATGTCCATCCCCACTTAACTCATTTAGTGAGGAAGGTGGGCTTTCTTATGGGCAAAGGCAACCACTTCAGGAGCTTCTAGATGGAATGCAATTTCTTGTCCAGCAAGCTACGTCCTTTGTTGATGTGACTTTGGATGCAGACTGTGGTGATGGCCCTTATGGTTGGCTAGCATTGGAAGAGCAATGGCGGCGTGGATTTTCTTGTGGCCCTTCTATGGTTCACGCAGGTTGTGGAGGGACTTTAGCCTCCTGTCATTCCCTGGATATTGCTGGTGTGGAGTTAGTAGATCCACTTTCTGCAGATGTAAGGATTTTCTTTCTTTATTTCGTACTAGTTGCTGCTCCTTTTATTTTTTGTTCTTGAGGTGAGAATTGCTGGCTACATCTTAAGGACAAAGATTTCTGTCCTACAATAACTTTGTTTATCGTGAGCTGACATGTAATTATTTTCCCTCCAATTACTTGCTGCTGATGGTTGTAGTTAAGTATGCGCCGCTTCTGATGTTTGTATGGCACCATTCTGGCGCCTGTTATCATGTGTTTCTTTTCACAACTAAACAACAAGAATTGTGTCTTCCTACAAATATGATACTGTAAGATAGAAAACACATGAATTAGGTTTTGACCTAAATGCTTTAGTACCGATATCAGATTGTTAAGAATCTGATGCCTATCTTCTTACTCTGAGTCTTGTGAATAGATATATGGCCTTTCAAGCTGCAGCGATGACAGGGTTTTGAGATTATTTTATGCAATAACAATATCCTTCCTAGTGAAATTCTTTATGGGGCTGTGAAACATGTTTCCTTCTGGTCTATATGTCTATTCAATCTGAGAATCCTGCTTTTTCATTATGACTCATCTGGATGCAATCTGTTAATGGTTTTTGGAACGTTGTAAAATATCGCCACTTTATAGTAATAGCATAAACTTGTCGTCAATATGTCCGCAACATAACGAGACCATTGTGTCAATATTGTCCTTACAGTGAGAGCCCTAAGTTCGATTGTATGCCAATGGATTGTATATGCTGCCACGAACACCTAAGATGCACAGTTGAACTAATTTCTCGGAGTAGCTTCCAGACATGAGAGGAAGCATCATCATCTGACTAATGCGTGAACAAACCTTTTTGTAGGTAAAATAACCTAAGTATTTGCCACCAAATCAAATAAATTTCCCCGTATGAAGTATTCATCCAAATTTTTTGTTCTTAAATTGCCTGTTCTCTGTGGTTCTTTCTGTTGGAGACATACTTTGGAAGCGTCATAATCTTAAATATTTGACATTGCATGCATTGTGAGCACCTAGATCCTTATGTGGGGAATTGTATCCCAGGTCCAAGTGGCATCTGTGATTAGCTTGCTACAGTCAGACGTAAAGTCAGCCTTAAAAGCTGCATTTGGCAATTTGGATGGTCCTTTATCCGTCACTGAGTGGTGCAAGGGACGCAACCAGCTAGGTGATGTTGGAAACATGGCAGATGGATTTTCTGCAGAGTCTAGTGTAGGTGAGTGTAGAGATCCTTCAAGTACTACGACATTTTCAGGTGGAGAAGCATCAAGCCCATCGCAATCCACTGCAGTTGGCTCATCCAATATAAGAGGTAATGGAAAGCTAGACAAGACATAAGTTGCAATTTGATGATTGTGGAGATATATCAAAAGGCTATTTATTTATCTGTCAGTATCAGAACAGGACGTTTGGGCAATGCGTCAATTGTTCAAACTTTGTAAGGTGCTCATTTTGTTGTCGAATTACACTAAAAGTTGTTGGTATTTATACTTTACATGGTTTTGCTATGGAATAGTGACTAGTGGCCTGGATGGATCTAAACTGGATGACTCGTGCCAAAGGAGATTAAACCAAGATAACAGTTCAGAGTCTGGACAGCAGTTCTCCTCCCGGCTAAGGCCCACACTATATGTCCTTCCTTTACCTGCGATACTTGTTGGGTACTTCTCTATTTAGTTTCTTGTTTTCCTTGGTTCTGTGGTGTATTCAAGGGCCGAATAGCATCAAGTTGCCCAATAGGAAAACCAAAAAAAGAAGAAATAGAAGAAAAAAATCCATGTATTTTGCTTTGAATCTCCTTTTATGAGGTGCAATGCCTCTAGTCTAGTCTATTAATGCTGTATTTGCTCAACAGTTGTCTTGATGTGATAACGAGGCAAGTTGATAGTCTTAGTTGGGGTTCCAACTGTGAATTAGCATTCTTGAATGCATAGCTCGAGTATTTGCATCCTCATGTGATAACTCATCCGTGTACTTATCAGAGGTTCAGTTTCCTGCACTCATTTGTCTTCCTCATCAATAGTTGTCTTGATGGTTACAGAATGAAAAGATTAAAAGTTTACCTTATAATAAATTTACTGATTCTTGTAAAGATTGTGGAGAGGCATATCGTCTATAAATTGTGCATGTCATTGGTTTAGGTATGTAGCAGTTTACCATTCGCCACTTTTCTGTTTTACTGGTTTTCAGTAGTGAGGCTGATCCATGATCACATGAAATATGCATATAGAGACATAGAGAACTGATTCGGAGTTTTTAATGTGTGCCAATCATCTCTAATACCTATAGTATAGCCAGCCAGCATATATATATATATCTTTTCATGATTGTGGAAGCTCTGGCCATCATGCTTAGGATTCTAGGGTATTCGCTATGGCTCTTCGATTAAACATTATTACTCCTATAAGTAGTGGAATCTTTCACTAGGGATTTGAATTTAAAGTTAAAATAGGAAATCATCTTTTGCAGGTATCAGGATGATTGGCTTAAGACATCTGCTGGCTCTCTACAACTTTGGGAGAAGGCTCCTCTTGAACCTTACGCACTCCCAAAACCTGTGAGCATCGTCTAATCTACACCCTTTTCTGACCTAGGGTCTGTCCGGATTGACTTTTACATTTGACTTTGTTCACTTAATCAAACTCTTGTGGCCCATACACTGACTTTTGTTGTTTTAAAATCCGAAACACTTGAGACTTTCACAAAATGCAAACATTGACACGTAGGTTCACATATAACTTTTTTATATTTTTTAAAATTTGAATAATATTCTAAATGGCGGGAAAGCAAATAAGTACTTTTGCTTAACTGAAACATCAGGCCCTAATGAAAATTTACTAGCATCATCTCTTTAGTCTCATTTTATTGTCATGACTAATGCAGGTCAGTTTCTATGTTCTATGCCCTAATATTGATCCCTTAACTTCTGCTGCTACTGATTTTTTCCAACAACTTGGTACTGGTGAGTTTGTACTTTATGGGTTGTATTACTTATACACAGGCTGTTGTGGATTTAAGTTGGCCTTTTGATGAACATTTTCCTTATTTTATGTATGGTCTGCAACTGCTGGTAAGGATGACCTATTTGTCAAGATCTTACTCCTTTAGAGTGTCTTTATGAGAATTGGAAGGTATAGGCATCGAGGGGTATGGGCGGCCATGTTTTTCCAGAATGCATGAACATGATGGTCTCTTCGCATTGGAAAAATCCTGCCTTTTGCTGTTTGTATCCACTGTTGAGTAGTGTAACTCCCTTGAAAAATCTTTAGCCGTATTTCTCTACTTTTTAGTGAGAAAAACTATCTAAATGCTGTCTAAGTCTCTAAACTCAAGCCTTGACCAAGGTGGTGGTGGTTATGGAAAAGTGAGGGTTCCTGCTCTTAGTTTTTAGCTGAAAGGGGATATAGTCTTCCTCTGGACAAAGAATTGCCACATGGTAACATTCCTGTGTTATTGTTTGAGGAAACTTGGTGGCTCTTTTCTCGTGATTGTTGCATATTTTGTTGCAATAGTTGCTTGACCACTGGTTTTTAGGTGATTGGAACACTTGTAGCCTGTCCTTTACATAGGTTCATTTTGCGTGGGGACGTTGGGACCTGGATTTTCATGATCAAAGGGTATTCATGCCTTTCTGATTATCAACGTTAGTTTGATCTTTTGGTATCAAATGTGTCTTTGTTCCAACCATCCTCGTGAGGGAGCCCTATACACAGGATAGGCTGGTTTGCTTGAAGATAATCTTTTCTATTTGCCATTAAGAGGAATTGTCCCTCATTTTCCTCGTTTTCTTCCTCAGTTTATGAGACTTGCAAACTGGGGACTCATCTACCCCAGACTGTGGGAAACCAAATGGAGATTGATTCTGGAAAAGCATCGAGTCCTGGTTTTGTCTTTTTGGATTGCCCTCAGTCAATGAAGATGGTCAGCAGTAACGCATCTCTTGTGGGATCAATGAGTGATTTCTTTCTGTCCCTTTCCAATGGCTGGGACTTGACAAGCTATCTCAAGTCTCTGTCAAAAGCTCTCAAAGGATTGAAATATGCTCCATGTTCAACTACAAACCCTAAAGAAGGAAATAGCGGTTCTTGTTTGGTAAGCAAGAGTGTGAAACATCCTTCAATGCATCTCTTGCACTGATTGGAGCAGTTCAAATTTGCCATGTCATATGATGAAGTTGAAAATAACTGTGGAATAATTTTCTCATGCATCTTTTTTTCGTGTTGTCCGTTATTTTTTGCTTTTTTGGCTATTTCTGCAAGCTGCTTTACCTTCCATCTGTCATTCTGTAGGTGATCTATGTGGTTTGCCCCTTCCCCGAGCCAAATGCTGTTCTGAAAACGGTGGTTGAGTCTTCTGTCTCAATGGGATCGGTCATTCTCCCACCAGAGAGACGTGTGACATTGAACAATCAGGTTGGAAAGGCAATGAGCTGCTCGGCAGCTGTGGATGAAGCATCAACAACAAATATCTTGGTGCTTTCAGGATTTAGTATTTCAAAAATAGTGCTGCACATTGTGACAGTTGATGCCATATTTAGGGTAACGAGTCCAACTCTCAGTGAGCTTACCATCCTTAAGGAGACTGCTTTTACTGTCTATAACAAGGCTCGGCGGATTTCACGAGGGTCCAGTGATGTTCAGTCCTCATCACTATCAGGTAGATCCCAGTTGGCCATGACCCAAATGACCTCTCCCATTTCTTCTATGTGGAAAGAGTGTGTTGGTCCTCGAATTTCAGGGCCATCCCTTACCAGAGAGGGTGAAATGGATGCCAGTTTGAGGACTGCTGCGTGGGATAATTCATGGCAAACGAGGACTGGAGGACTAAGTGGCGATACTAGTAGAGCTGGGGATTTTCTCTCACAAGAGGAAGCACGTTGTATGTTTGAACCTCTTTTTATATTGGCTGAACCTGGTTCTCTAGAACATGGTGTTTCGCCCACATTTTCTGCTAGTTTAGTTAACGAAACGTCAAAAGGACAATCAGATGATAGTGGTGGGGGCTTCATGCAAAGTGCAAACTCAGTGGGAAGTGCAGATTCTGCATCTAGCTCACAAGTCGACGGATCTGAGTCAGACAGCTATGGGTCTGGCCATAAAAAATTACCAACCATACATTGTTGCTATGGATGGACAGAGGATTGGCGTTGGTTGGTATGCATATGGACAGATGCTCGGGGGGAATTACTTGACAGCCATATATTTCCCTTTGGTGGAATTAGTAGTCGGCAGGACACAAAGGGGTTGCAGTGTCTATTTGCACAAGTTCTACACCAAGGCTGTCAAATACTTCAGATCTGTTCAGATAATGCTGCTGTCAAGCCCAGAGATTTTGTGATTACCCGGATCGGAAGTTTCTATGAACTTGAATACCTAGGTATGCGAGCTTTTTCCTCGTTTCATATTTCAATTGTCTATAGGATTATTATCTCATTGTCACTCAAGTTACTTCCCCTCATTTATTGATTTTGAGTCGAAAGCCATTGCCTTAGAATTTTTGGTCTCCCAACAGCTTAGATCTGTGAAATAATCCATACTGGGGAGTAGCTTTTTAATGATATATATCTAAAGGTCATCTCTTTGCTCTTTAACTCTTAATTGTAAAGGACAATGTGAAGAAATGACAGGAATATATCTAGATGAAATACTCTACTCAGTCTTTTAGCTCCTCCACGTTTTCCTTTGTTTACTTTGGAACTCCGTTTTCCCTAATGAATTTTGTCCATTCGTGGTGGTTAGAGTGGCAAAAAGCCATTTATTCAGTTGGAGGAGCTGAGATGAAGAGTTGGACGCTGCAACTACGGCGATCAATGACTGAGGGGATGTCTGTGGGAGCGAATGGGGCTTCCTTGCAACAACAGGAGATGAATTTGATTCAAGAGAGACCCCTGCCTTCCTCACCCAGTCCGTTGTACAGTCCTCACTCAAAATCCTCAGGCTATATGAAGGGTGGGTTAGGACCTTCAACTGCTAGAAAGCAGGTCATGGGTGGACATGCAGGGGTTGAAAGCCCAAGGGGTCTGCTTCAGTGGGTGCAGACCATCAGCTTTGTTACTGTTTCTGTTGACCATTCCTTGAATCTGGTTTTTCCTGTGGATGTACCATCTCCCGGTAAGCCTCGTGTCTACTTATCAATTTTCCCTCCTTTCTTTATGGTTGAAAAATAATAATAAACGGAAAACCCCTTGTTGGAGCCCCTATAAATACTCCAAGAACACTGCTGGCTGACTTCTTGACAGACATTTTTGTGGTGGAATGTGCTTATTTATTTGTCTCCACTTAAATCTGGATGGAGCGAGTGGTCAAACCATTCTCAAATTCTTGCCTAGTGTTGAATCTATCCTATTGCTGTTGGCTGTGAGTACATTTCAAATAATTTTTTGGTTGTGATCTGATACATTATTTGGCCTTTTCAAAGCCGTACTCGACAACCAATTTGGGATCATTTTGAAGGAAGGTGCAGATATATGATGGATGCCTATTTGACTGCCAATCTTTCATATATTGATTACCCATCTTTTCATAGCCGTAGCCTGGAGTGAACTTCAAGTCGGGCATTTACTCCAACCTCCTTTTCAGCTTTTCCCCCTTGAAGTTTGTAGTTTACTATTCATCTAGATACCGTTCCCTAAAACTAGAGAATATTTGGAGTCCATGTGCAATCCAGCATCTTTATTGGGAATGCATCCATCTCCGTCAAGTTGAATGAAATGCTTTTGGTTTATAAAGGTTGCGTTTCATAAGGACACCCTCTATGTGCAGCAAGGCAGTTGTTTGCACTAATATATTCTCCCATTGGAAAAATGTTTCCCAGGATAAGAAAACTAAGAAGGAAAACCAAAAGAGAAGTTAAACTGAGTGATAGAAGATTGTCAATTCTAAAATACTATTTGTTGCCCTGTGTTTGGGAGACATTTGCTAAATATTCTTTTCGTGTGTACTTTTTATCATTTCGTTTACTGGTGGATACGATGACATCTGCATACCAATGTTATGTGCTTTGGTAGTTGACTACCTTAAAAACAAGATATATTGTGCAGGAGGAGCTCAAAATGGGAGCTCTATGGGTCCATCCAGTTATCTGGAAGGTTTTACACCTGTGAAGTCTCTTGGTTCTACATCTGCATCTTTCCTGCTAATCCCATCACCCAGCATGCGCTTCCTCCCTCCGACACCTCTTCAGCTTCCTACATGCCTAACTGCTGAGTCTCCGCCACTGGCCCACCTCCTTCACAGCAAGGGTGCGGCGCTCCCTCTTTCTACCGCCTTTGTGGCCTCAAAAGCTGTTCCTACCACAAGGAAAGATTTCAGGGGCAACCTAAAGGAAGAATGGCCTAGCGTTCTGTCGGTTGGGCTCATTGATTATTATGGAGGCAATAATGTTAACCAAGACAAAGTCAGCCGTGGCATCGCGAAGCAGGGGGGAAGAGCTTTGAACTCAGAAGCTAAGGATCTTGAGGTCGAGATGCATTTAGTTCTCGAGTCTATTGCGGCAGAGCTTCAGGCCCTGTCATGGATGACGGTGAGTCCTGCATACATAGAACGAAGAACCGCATTGCCTTTTCACTGTGACATGGTTTTAAGATTGAGAAGGCTTCTTCATTTTGCCGAGAAGGAGCTATCTCGACAACCAGAAAAATTATAGGGTGCAGTTGGAGAAAGAAGACATTTGATTTCACTTTCTTACTAACATATTTGGAGGATTGTCACACCGGTAGGATCTCTAATGGGTCAGGTCAGTGTATAGTGTAGAGTAGATAGTGGAAATCCGATTGTACATGTAGGGTCGCAACTCTTCTGTAGACATCTTCTTCCGTCAGTTTTACCTTCCCCTAGTAAATGTATCTCGGGTAATCGCAAGGTGGGATCGGCGGGTGTAGTTTTGACTGAAGTTGCAGAAATTCTGTAATCTTTTAGGACAGCTCATCTAACTCAAGCCTGTATAATTGACAGTTCTGTTTGATAAAGTGGCCTGGACATTTTGTCCATTGTTACTCTGATTCCTGGGTTTTCTTTTTCGAGCTTTAAGAAAAATTGCCACCGGCGCGTTAAAATATCCGTTCATTTCTCCGTTGGATATTCTACGGTTTCAGAAAAAACCTCTTTCGCCCTGTCGTCACCATTACTTGCTGATGCTCGGTTTTCAAATTTCAAAAGCTTATCTCCGCTTGCATTGCGGCTGTAATTGATCGACTCATCTCACGATGATGAAGAGTTGTACCAAGAAGAAGAGTACCGTCAAAATTCCGGGCTCGAGCGAGTATCCGGAGTTGTTGAAGCAGGAAAGCATGTTGAGATTGATTGATCTATTCTAGATTACTGCAGGGGGGATCCAACATTGTATGAATTTGTCTCTCCTGAAGTCTACTTAGAGAGAGAGCACCATGACCTGTTTTAACTATTTTCTGTACATTGATCTATTCTAAGATTATATAGGAAAATGTTTTTTTTTTCCTTCATCCGACTGCGAAGTAGATTGAGCGGGAGCTCCAGCGCGAGTTTTACTAATATAAATGTCACCCTGCATGAACATCAACTGCGCGTTCTAAGTAGAGTACTTCAGAGGATCAGTTAGGGTAAATCTATCAAACATCAGGAGGTGACAACTTAATTCTGAAGAGTTCTTGGAAGAGGTCCCCATTGTTCCTTGATGTTCGTCCAGTGCTTGCTTACGAACCTTAAAAAGATTCATGCCTTTGATAAGGTAAAACCTATTTAAATGGCACATTGGACCATTTCCCCCCTTATCTTTTTTCTTCCCTGGGAAGAGAGATTACCGTCTAATTGCTTTACAGCCTAGGGATCTCGAGGTTTGGACAAGACCTAGAATGGGCACAGTTTAATGTCTTGCCCAGGACGAACCAGTACTTGCTTATGAACCTTAATAGATCCATGCCTTCTATAAGGTATAACCTATCTAAATGACACATCGAACCATTTCTCTGCGCATTGCAATTTGTAAAGAGAGATTAGAAGCTACTGCAAATAACATTATTAAACGGGTAACTTTTCTTCAGAACAGTTTTTTTTTCTTCTTTCAAAAGTTTAGATAATTGGACTTAATTCAAATTGGGTTGACTATACAGTGCCTTGCTAAAACCTGAGGATGGGAATCACATAAAGGAAAAATCTTTCCACATATCATTATATAATTTAATAAAAAAGAAATCTTATTCATTGAGAATAATTAAGGGGGGGAAGAGTAAGAAGAGAAAGGAAGTAACATGGGTGCCATTCATTTTTTTGGAAGGGGGCCACCATTCTTAGCTTACATTCAAAGCTTTGCTTGCACCAACCAAAGACCAATTGTGGTTGCTGTCTTCTTCCTTTTTACAGACTCCCATGTGCTCCCCAAAATGATAGGGCATGCCACATGTCATTATTTTTTATTTTTATAATTTCTCTACCAAAATTCCCTTTTGCCCCCTTTCCATTATACAAAATGGGAGAACAAAAGGAAAAAATTGAAATGGGAAACAATTTTCTTTTTCCTATTCTTGATTGATACATGTGGCTGTTGCCTGTTGGAGAAGACTAGGCCCTGTCCCAAAAGATACTCATTTGTATTTGACAAACATAAAAAATATGGAAAATATTGTAACATGCCAATTTTTACTAATACACAATTATGGTATCGCATCAATTTTTTTATACAAGAAATTATAGTTCGAAAAAATACTTTTGTGGCTTGTTTGGGAGAAAGAGAAATTCTTATTCCAAATGGAATGGGCATTCCTTTTACTAATGGGGTAGTCATTCCATAGGTTTATTCCAAGACTCAGAAAATTAATAATTAACATTGATAATTACATCCATTAACAAAATAAATTAATTTTTTTAATGTTACTACGAATGATGAATTAGATGATGATTTTAATTTATCGTATTTCGATTAATAACTAGCAGAAGTTCATTATTATTTGACGTATTAAAAAAATAATTGATTGTTTGAACAAAGTATACTTATATTTGTGCATATTATTGGTTATTTCTTTGTGAAATTTACTAGATTATTTAATGTTATTAATAAGTTTTGGAAAATCAAATAAAAATATTTAATGTTATTATTAAGTCTTTAATGATTTTTTATGTTTCAGAATAATTTCTGGTATAAAGTAATTTGACTAAATTAAATGTTTTTGAAATTTTCATTACATTCAATTCCATCGTTTTTTTTCCCTTACAACAAACCAAAATAATACTTATCCCTCCATTTTTACTTAAACCTAACAAAAGAATCAAGATTCTCATTCCATTCCATTCTACTCCATTCCTTTTTAATTCTATTCCATTCTGTTGCACCAAACATAACCTTGATTCTCAATTACTAAGCAAAGCCTATCAAGAATTATATTAGGAAGAATCATATATCTCGATTTTGCTTAAATTCTCGAATTAATTTCATGGAGGTCAACAAAATGGAGCTGTCTTGTTCGTTAAAAAATGGGAGCCAGATCACACAACACAAGTAGGGACGGTATTGATTTTTTCTTTCCACTCTAATATGAAGCGTCCCGACCAAACTCTTTTACCATCAGGCGAACTCATAAACGGGATGGGATTGATTTAATAAAGCCCCATAATTTCTTTTTTTTTTTCCATTTTTGGATGTAATGTCCACAATCATTCATAATGACACATGACCTTTCCTTCGAAAGACTTTCTTGCTAACATAACATCTTTTTGACAGCAAGCGCAACATGCGTCAACTTTTTAACATAAAAAAGAAAGTCACTGACAAAGAACAAAGATTACTGTCGAAGTTTTCTCTCATCTTACAGATTCTATGGTCTTGATGGATGTCTCTGGAGTCACCCTCACCAGATTAGAAATATGGAGCAAAATAGCATCTTCTCTTCTGGCAAATGTTTCATCCATTCATGTGCTTGAATGACAGGTTGGCCACATTACATGTGTTCATGATGGAAATTGAGCCAGAAAGAATGGTCAATCATGGTGTCTGGACTGCGGTCTTCGTCTCCAACCACTCATTGCCTTCCACATAATCCACCTAAAGATATGTTAGGTGTAAGCTTCACACCCGCTCTGTTATTCTTTTTGAATGATTCCAATACAAGGAAAAATATCTCCTAGTTTCACATTCCGTCATCAGCGGCACCATCCTTCTCCAAAGCTCACTGCTATTTGATAATATTCATATATATAGAAAGTGAAGTTTGCACAGTAACTGGTTCTTTGCATATTGGCAATTTTTAGAAGACTTTGCACAATGTTCATATTGGCTTGGTTGCTAGCCCGGCGACTACGTTCGCTACATCACAATTTTAAAGGATAAATTGATTCTATTTATTTCGCATCAAGGCTTCCCTTAGGTATCATGGAGCGAAATGAGAGAGTAATTTGGAACGAAAATGAGAACGCGTGTGTATATATATTCACGAAACTTCCCAACACTTTCTTAGAAGGAGGAGCACAACTGTTCAAGCCCCAGCTTCCTTACCAAAAAAAAAAAAACTGTTCAAGCCCCAGCAATTAAATATGTAGGGAGGAGATCCAAATTGCCAGAGAAAATATAAGTATTAAGTGAAAAAATTATTACCACAACAAATGAATCGTCCAAGATACACAAATGACAAGGGCATGGGGAACCCATATCAAGAAGAAAGACAGAAAATGGGAGTGTGTCTACAGACACCCTCACATCACATGTCTCTCCATGATCTCCTAAGATTCTAAGACAAATATACCCACATTCCCTATTAAACAACAGAATTTTATACTCACCAATGCTTAGTATAATACAAAGTCCCCTCCAAACACACCAAACTAAAAGCAGATCTCATCAATCACATCATGAACACCAAATCATCAAAAACTTGTAACAACCCCAAGACTCTCGTGTGTACAAAAGAATAAATGAGAGAGATATGCGAGCTTAGGGAGAATACATATCAGAAATCAAAATAAATAAAAATGAGGGTGCAGGGTGAAATGTGCAACAATACTATGATCTAAGTGGTCATTGCTTTTTCTGTTTGGCCGGATGAGCGCATGAATTGGAGACGCTTCAAAGAAGCAACCCGAAAGCAAGAGCAGCAATGGATGCCAAAAAGGTGGGGACAAAGACCGTCGCGTCGGAGGTGGGGCTCGGGGCCGGGGCATCGGCGGCAGCTGCCTTCTGCACGGTGGCGGCGGCCATCAGCACCACCATCATTGCCACGAAGAGCTTCATCTTCATTGCCTCCATTTCTTTTCTTGATTATTGCTTGTTGAACAAATAGAGCGAGAGAGGGAGATGGGGAGTATCCAAGAAATGAGAGTCTCTCTACTGTAAAGGCAGAGAGAAACAGAGGGGGCAAGGTAATCTAATGGTATTGATACTGGGTGGAATGATCACTATATATAGTCTGCAAAAGAGGAGAGAGAGAGATTGACAGGGTGGATCTTGGTGGTGTTGCCAGACAGCTGGCTCTATGCAAATGTGAGGGTGCCCACCTTTTGCTGTCTTTCTTAACTACTGTTTTGGAAGATCATGGTTATTTTCAGTTGGTTTTTGTTTAGGTGTTTCTGCTTTACACAAACCACAGGTGTGAATGAATGAGGCGTGAGTGAATGAAATTCCATTTGGGGGTTTGTTTTGAAGGGATGGATCCTTTTGTTCCATTTTCAGGTGTAGGTGAGCTGTGAACGAAGTTACACCAATCAGTTTGTCCAATTAGGGTTTCGCCTCTTAGACGACTCCAATAGATATGTATGTAGTTTTCAAGAATTTTTAAGAAAAATCTCGTTTGTCGAGTGCAACATGCTATGCACGAAAATCAATCCCTTCCCATATTGCGGATTCATTCGTCAGGCAAGTGCTATTAGGCATGGACACTTTTACGGTATCTCATGTGTATTATACACATATATGGTAGAAATTTCAATCGAGAGATGTTGCTCAATTTTCATATTTAAGTGAAGCCAAAGAAAACATAAAATTGATTAAAATAAGGCAGGATTTTAGGGAATCAGTCACTGGTAGAATGTGAAAGGAAAAGGACAGATGATGCATTAAATAAGGACGTTACGGCCTATGGAATAAATTTTTGAACTTTTCCTTGGTGATGAAATCTAGAAAAATCATATGATAATCTCATAAACTTAAGATCAAAGTTAGGTCTTTGCAATTAATCACTGCATTAACGTGGTACAATTTTATTCTAAAACAATTCCATTAGCCTATGAAAATGACCAATCACCAGAACCTGCAGACGTGCACTCTGATATTGTAGCTGCCAGCAATCATCTTGGTACAATTCATGTACAATAAGCCACGAATTAAATTTTAATATCACGTGTCCATATAAATAAATCTTGTTAGAATCTACCTTATTACATAAGTTCCAAGCCATTTTTATTGTAGGACCAATGTTAAGATTGGAGACATATATGACGTGAACAATATGGAAACCTAAAGTCTACATGAAAGGGAAATTGTAACAGATTGGTAGGTGCTTGTGAATGATTTTATTATATAGAGCAAAAGTACCCAAGTTCGCACAGTAAAGCGAGTTTGTTGTAGGGTCTCTATATTCCCCTCCTTATCCCGAGCACAGCTAAGACGAAAGCCACACACGAAAGGAAACACTCGATTTGATTTGAAGAGTCTACCCTAAATTAGAATCAAATAGCAAATATTGGATTCCTCGATAGGCAAAAATCCCGACATTTAACAAGAAAGAGCACTCGTTGTAATTGCAAAATCCGGTAAGCTTACACAACTTACGAAGGAGGGGCGATCCGAACTAACCGATAAACATTTCCAAAAACCCGTACATCCACCGCGAGTTCAGCCAAGATTAGAGGTTCGAAAAATTTCAAAATATGCACTCAAACTTTTTCAAACTTTCCGACAGCAAGAAAAAGCTGGTGACCCACGAGCGTTCTCGACATCCTCAAGAACCTGCGAGTGGGGACACCCCCTTTGGCATCGCAGACTATTTGTGTGAAAGGGTGGCCAAGAACTTTCTGAACCACCAGATGTACAGCTGCGAAATTTCGAACTGCAAGAAACATCTGCTTTTCCCAATCTGAACAGTGTCTGGTTTTCTCGTTAACGTATGAAATGATGAAAGAAAGATGGCTTGATGAGCAGTGAGAGGCTCCCAATCAATGATCAAGAAACAACGGCGGTTGTTCATCTGCGGCAATCAAAGCGTCCCCCAATTCAAATTGCTCACCCATTTCAAACCAAACCACCCTCATGAATGGTCATCGTGGGTGGCCTCAACGTCCAGACAAATTGATTTGATGTTGCTGGATTGCTGGACACTTTAGCATGACTAAAGTTGGATCTTTTCGAACATGCAAGCCACCTTGTAGGCTTCCTCGTAGAAGGTTTCCTTTGTCTTTGCTCCTCAAATATATTTTATTAAATCCCAACTTTGGCTTGGTCCACTGATTTTATGAATGTGTGATCGGGCATTATACAATGCTGGTTTTGTGTCAAACATACCATCCTCCTCTTTTATCTTATTATGCGCTGGTTCTTTCATTTGTTTTAGTATAGCGATAGGATGGTTTACGGGTCAGCTTTCGCACATTTCGATTGCTCTACCTTTCCGAGTGATCTTAGGAGTGCACTCCTCCATATCGGTCTGGTACATTTGGGATTTTATTCCAAGAATGCTTTTGACAAGGCTTGAACTCAAAATTGCAAGAAGACGAGCAAATGTCATTGCCATATAAGTCAATACCCTTGTTGATTCCTAGTATAGACTATATACCTCTTCATAATTTAATCTGAGCCCAAAGTACGGGAAAAGTACCAAAAAAAGACCTAAGCCTATTGCATTCGTACCAATTCGGTCATAAACTTTTTAATTTGATAAATTTAGTCCTAAACCTTTTCAATTGGTATCAAAACCTTTTCAATCCGGCCAATTTAGACCAGAAATCACTAGTGTGGATGCAAACCATCTCATGTAGCATGGCCGAATGGTGTACAAGTCAGCTTTTGCACATCTCGATTGGTCCACCTCCCCGAGTGATCTTAGGAGCGCACTCCCCCATATCGGCATGGTGCATTTCGGATTTTATTTCCAGAGTATTCCTAACAAGGCTCGAACTCAAGATTACAAGGGGATGAGCAAATTCCATACATTGCTATACAAGTCAATACCCTTGTTTTTTTTTTTTTTTTTTTGGTAACCTAGGAACCCCGCACGGCCGACACCGGAGGTAAACCCGGGGCGACACGTGCTAGCCACCACACACGTGCACCGTTAAGTCACCTTACTGGCCTCGGATTCGAACACCCAACCTTTTACGAGAGGAAGAGTGCCTTTTCAGAATACACCAGTGCGGGTGGTTACCCTTGTTAATTCCTAGTATATACTATACCTCTCCATAATATAAGCTGAGCCCCAAAGCATATAATTCCAACCTCAAACTTTGTCCGAGAATTTAAAAAAAGCAAATGTATGTTATTGGGTAAATTATGTCAGTATATAACTAATTATTGAAAACAATGCTCATTTAAAAGGTTTAAAATAAAATACTGAAAAATCATTAAAAATAACTTTCACTTAAATCCCAAAAATCTCTTATAAGTTCTAAATATTTATTAAATCTTTATGTCCATGCAATAATTTTGTAATTTATTTTATGAAGTAACTCAAACCTTACATCGTTTTTATTTCTTTAGTATTTATTTTTTTCAATTCTCTTTTGCGCACGGAGCTAGTAAGGGAGAAAGTTTGAAGTAAATTTTAACACCAAGATCTGTTGAAAGTCCTGCATATAAGCTCAGTATTTCTTTCATATACATCATACCACCCCTAATCTCTACAAAAGTTTACCATACGAGGTACGAAATTGCAAGCAAGAAAATGATCAATGTAATTTGAGTTCAGAATTACGTTTGATTAATTTCTTATAGTTATTAGTATAGGGATCTAAGCAAATCCTTAAACTGCTTTATCCTGAGCCTCGTCCAAATCTCAGGATCCTTAGGATATAAAGCAATTAGAGAAGATTCCCTCCTACCGGGGAAGACAGAGATTTGGGTAGAATTGAGAGTGCGAGGCGTGTAATCACCGACACGTTAAAATATGATGGGGACAGGCTGCAGAGGCCTCGTAGGAGCAAAAACTCCATTCCTTTATTGAGGTTACCTCTTAACTGAACACTGAGGATCCAAGGAAAGCCCTTGTTATTAGGTTACCTCTTGATTTTTGTTAATTTGTGTAAAAACCATCTAAGTTGTATTGCAAATTATAAATGCTCGACACTTATAGTCTCCGAACTTTTTTTTCTAATCAACTTAGATCTTGCACTTGTCAAAATTGCACTCAATCTTTTAATTGTCGAAAAATTAGGACATTTCGTGGAAGCAAGTAGTTGCGGACCCAAGATTTTAGTTTGAGAGGGGCTGGCGTAAATAGTTTGTTGCCACTGGGTCAAAATCAAAAGGTCAAATGGGACTTTACGATTTGATTACTTCTGTAATGTACAGAAACACTGAGTGAATAACTAAAATTTACTTCTACATTACAAATTTACGTGACAATAAAATAGCAAAATTCATGGTTAATTCGACGGATTAGGCACATTAGAGACAAAAGTACCAGCTAGCCGAAAGAAATTTGACTCAAAAGAAACCACTCTCAATGTCCCAAGAAGGTCTGTAGACACTCGTTATGATAAGCTTGAGGGCAATCGACTCTCCTCCTCAAATGCCATAACAAAGATCAATCCTAATCTAGGAAAATGACCGAAAGTACCATTCTTAGATGTGATGCTCACACAAGTTTGGTAAAGCACATATTGCAATGAAGGTAGACTCCACTAGCCCACGATGTCGACCCGCCATGGCTCGAGCAGTCCGGGTTCGAGCTGATTCGAGTACTTGCGCTCAACTTTTCGACTTGTCGTCGTTCGTCGCATGCATCCTTAGCTATGTTCATACGTATTTGGACTAGTCCTACCTTCTAATTCGGGGGTTATGAAAAAATCAAGATTGAATAGACCTTAGTTTTCTCCGATATCTCATTGCATTTTTTGCTTTTCGATTACTTACATTCAACATTTTCGTATTTAAACTATGTTATTTCAAAAAAATTAAATAAATTGATATAAATGCATTTAGAAGTTTCCCGCATTTAGTGTTAGAAATAGTCGAATTATCATTTTCACTCGTTTTGTCATAATGTATTTTAAATTTTATTTTGCCCTAGAAGCTTAGGTGATTTCATATTTGGCTTTGCATAGCGTGTTCATCATTATTTATTACTCACGGGAGTCCCCTGTCCCGTGGGGTAACGGCAAGGCTTTGTATTAATTTTACATAGATACAGCTCGAGTTAATTTGAAATTCGCTTTAATTACATGCATTAGTACTGAGTGAATTTACTGTCTGCGTCTTGAAGCATGGCCATAGAAATTTGCTTGTTTAGGAATAAAAATTCAGAAAATATTGCATTAGGGGTGAGCAACGGAACCGTGTGGATCAAACCGAATTAGCCAGTTTTGAGCGGTTCCTAGGATCATCAGTCCGGTTCCCGATTCTATAATATTGGAACCAGCGATTTCGGTCCAGTTCTCAGTTCCGGGTTGAACCACTCATCTGGACCGCCCAAACAGGATCGATTATTTTTTTTATTTCTTAAAAATCTTTAAACCCTAATCGCTCTTTACCCTCTCTCACGCCTCTCACGCTCGCTCTTTCCCTCTTGGCTCTAACCCTAATCGCTCCCACTCACCTCACAAGAGCAATCCCTCTTAATTTACTACTCCCAGTGACTCTATCTCTCTAGCCTTCTTCTTATTGAGCTTCGTTCGCAGTTTAGGTAAAGCTTCCACTTCTCTTATTTCCTTTTTGGTTTTGCTTGTCATGAGCAATATATGTTTGTTTTTTCCTGAGTCTTGATTCATCTATTTGGTCATTTGATGTGAGATTGGATCGTTTGTGTGTTGGATCTCGTCGTGGCCTTCACCATTTGTGGTATTATCAGTAGTTTTTGCTGCTGAGGAGCTTGTGAAATTGAGATGTGCAGACTGTAATTGTATCTATCATTCTTTTTTCCTGTTTTGTTTACTCATATCCTTGGTTGAATCATAGTTGGTTGATCTGTTGATGGTTCTGCGAATGGATCTAGCTATTTAGATTTGAAAAGCTTCACATGCATTGGCTTTGAAGAATTTTCACAAACACCTCGACGGTTCCAAAATTGCAGCAGGTTCCATTGGACCATCCAGATCGGTCCAATTCAGACCTATTCCAGGACCAGGTGATCCAATTCCCGGTTCTTGAGTAAGATCGGAACCGATCACTTCTAGATTGCATGAAATAACATTTTATCAAAAAGAAAAGACGTCGGTAACAAGCGTTAAGTAAAACTAGCGTAATCAAGTCATCGAATCTAAAATCTTTGATTTGTAGAAGTAAAACGACCCTTTCACGCATTACTAGGCTCCTAACAGGCCTAGAATAGATTAATGGCAACTCTAGTCTCAATCGATTAATAATAAACGAGAAACCAAGTTGTAATCGGTAGGACTTGAGAGAGTCTGTGCAAAGCATAAATGCCACCTCACAAGAGGGCTATATACACTCTTTGACCAATAAAAAAAGAGGGTTATATACAATCGCCTAGCAATCCATTAAACCACCTTGAGTTTCATCTCGAGGGTCGCAACACTAACCTCGCCCATGAAAGAACTTATCAAATCCATCAAATCGATTCCAAGTTCCAGCATTATTGACCCCGAGTTTTTGACGGAGGTGAAGATTTCTTTCACCAATTGTCATGAATAGACACAAACCCCATCGACCACTGGTTAGGGTGAATGACCTGAGATTGTGTGCACGCGCACGCGCACATGTATGGGCTAGGTTAGGGTGATTCATAAAGGATTAGCGTTCTTTAGATTACAAACTTTGGGAATTTCTCTACCGTTATCGTCTCAAAGTGGTGGATTTCTATAACCCATAAATAGCACCGTTATCATTCAATCGTGATGACACAAGCAGGTAAGAGCTGTTTGACTATCTACATGTATGGCTAATTGAATAATCAAATCCACACCAACATTCAAGCAAAAAAAAAAGAAAGACACACCACCCTTTTACCCCTAAAAAAGAGACGAGAAAGAAAAACCACACCAATTGCATACCACCTTTATGCAACTCCTCTGGAACCATAACAAGACTTGTGTGACCTCAGATCCCCTAACCAACAACAGTGGAAAGACAGAAAAAGAGAGGAAAGCCATACCGTTTTGAGGCCTGCATTTACTGGATTTCAGCTAAATTTCAGATGTACAGGACAAAATAGAAAGATGGACTGAGTAATGTGCACCAGATACCAACCCTCCCTCCTTTTCTGGGTATTTCATATTCCTGTTTCTAGTAACAATCTTTCGTTAAATCTTGCCCTTGAGACAAGGCAGACACTGGATTTCTGATACTATGTGCCATCCCAAACAAAGGAAAAATTGTCTAAAAAGTCATAAACCTATTGCACTTTTATCAATTCAGTCTTAAAGCTTTTCGCTTCTTGCCAATTGAGTTCATCCGGCTAATTTTGGCCGGCCGGCGCTGACGCGGCTGCCGGCCGTCCGGCCAACGCTGACGTGGCAATTTTTAAATGTTTTTTTCGAATTTTTTAATCTTTTTTTCTGCCCTTCTTCCCTCTGGCCGATTCGGCAACCAGCCAAAGGCGCTGGCCAGCGAGGTCGACCTCACTGGCAAGGGCAAGCCTCGCCAGCCGCTACTAGGCTGACCTCTCCGTCTTTGGGTTTCACTTCACCCAGCGACGGCGAGGTTGGCCTCGCCTTTGCTGGGCAAGGTCAGCTTGGCAACAGCGAGCGAGGCTCGCCCTCGCCAGTGGCCAACAGGGGCGATCTTCACCAGAGGCCGACGAGGTCGCCCTCGCCGGCCCGCACCTCTAGCCAGTTGCCGATTGCCGGACCAGCAAGAGGGAAGAAGGCAAAAAAAAAAAACGAAAGAAAATACTTAAATATTGGAAAAAATATTTAAAAATGCAACGTCAGCATTGGCCGGATGGCCAGCAGCCACGTCAACGCAGGTCGGGAAAAATTGGCCGGATTGACTCAATTGGCAAGAAGTAAAAAGGTTTAGGACTGAATTAATAAACTTAAAAAGTTTAGAACTGAATTGACAAAAGTGTAAGGGCCGCGCTTTTTCCACCCTCACCGTGGCTAAAACACTCATTATTACAGTATTTTGACAATATTAACCCTTGTGGGTCCCATCTTTTTTAAGGATCCTTTTTTGTTCGATTGTGGTGTCTCGTTTGTTTTCTTCTTTATTTTTTCTTGTGGGTCCCATTTTCCTCTTTTGTTACTTCTCTCCATTTTCCTCGTTCGTTACTTCTCTTCGTAAGTTCTTAAATTTGGTCATAGTTCAAACATTGATGGTGTACGCAAAAAAAAAAAAACTCTCTTTTGTGGTATGTTTTTGTCACTTGTCGTTCAGACCACGTCGCACTCATCAGTTTTTCAATCGTTAACCGGAGTTTGATACCTTGGCTCCCGCATTGAACCTTACGCCTATCAGAACACAGGGATTCGAACAATAAACGGGCAATAGGGGCCACCTCATCGCATGAGGGCTCAGACTTAAGTGTTGAGTTTGAAATCACCTCTTCAGTCCTCTCAATCACCAGTGGCAGCAACTTGGTAATTAAGATCGGCGCGGAAGTAGGAGAGACCGCAAGGGCGAGGAGGGGCAAATCCTCTCTGATTGTATTTTTGGTTTGCGTAAACAACTTAGTGAGAGGGGGGGAGATTTGAGCCATGTATTTGGAGACTGCTAAGGGATGGCGAATCGACAATAGCAATGACAATTAGGACCAAGAAAACAAAGACGAAGAAACAGTGATTACTTATGAGCTTGATTAGTTTTTGGGGTGAGGGCTTCAGCTTTTGGATTCGAATCTTTAATGGGTTTTTTTCTTGTCTTTGTAATCGATCAATCGAAAAGTTTGATGCGAAATGGGATAATTCATATTTGACATGAGATGGAAGAGGACTAGTTGGGTGAAGAGGAGGTTTCTGCAATATGGACTTCAACACAGATTATTGACATGAGAGAAATGTTTTAGAAAGAGAGAGCACAGAGAGAAAAAAATGAGAAGAAGGAAAGTGGCCTTTGCCAGAAAAGAAAAATAAGAGAAGCAGTTAAAGAATACTTAAAAAAAGTGAAACCTACGAAGATTAATATTGTCAAAACATTATAAGAGGAAGTGTTTTAGCCATAATAGGAATGTAAAAAGCGCGATCCAAATATAATAAATTTAGGACTTTTTGAATAATTTTTTTTCCAGACACGCTATATGTCAGTCCAAAGTGGAACAACGTTTATATTGCGACCACTACGTGATCTTTCCTCTGCTATTTCCTGTTTTTGGAAGGACAGGAGGAGGATAAAAGTTGAACAGCCATTTTAATTAGGAAAGGACAAAAAAAAAATGACACACGTGAAAATCATTGTGCCTCGTTAAGAGGAAAAAGAGAGAACAAAAAAATTTCATTTTTACCTCTGACTTGTGCTAAGTTTAGATGCATCCTGATTTCTTACAATGATTGAGATGATCCCGTCACTCAGGACATGCGGATTCAAAAATTGAATTGAAAAGCAAGCAAAGATATGAGGCTCCATTTGCGGTTTTCTTTTGAAAAACATATATTTTAAATCTTCTGGTTTTTCTAATTTTGACTTCTCTTTACTTCAAAACACCAAAAAATTATCAAAAATATGCAAACATTAAGATAAAGATAAACATGAATATTTCACCAGTTTTTCGAAATAAAAAAATTCTAAATTTTGGGTGAAAAATCATGAGTAACAATAACAATGAAGTGCAACAGAGACCTTAGAACACAAAACTACAATGGAAAGTGAAAACTCAAAATCAACTTAAAATTTCCAATGAATCCTCTACAAGAGAACAAACATATACCAAAAGGATACCCCTCTCCCCCTCTCTCTCTCTCTCGTTTCTATCTCTTCAAGCTATCATACTAGTGAAGAAACAAAATAATACATTCATAGTCATGCTCCGCCTTTCTGTGCATTCTTCTTCTCCATCTCTCATTCTGAATCACTCTCCATGCTTCCCATTGCCTTCAACCCCCTGGGTTTCTGCATCCACAAATACCACCATACATTTTCACATTCAACAGATCAAGATCCAAACAAATTCTACTACTATCTCACCATGAACAACCCCCAAAAGGAAATTCATCTTATTTTGAAAACAGTAGGTAGTGAAAAATATTGAAATTTATCAGATCTCTTAAAAGGATCCATTTTGATTACATATTTTCCATTTGCAGAATCTTTGCACTATTCTTTAGAGTGAGTATTCCCCGTGTCATTACTCGAATTTCACTCACTTCCTTGGATGATTCATATTATCAGCAACAAAAACAGAAAAAGGACTTTAAGGCACTGAGATGTTATAATCCAATATTCAGGAAAATTTAAAACAGAAGACAGAACGCAAGTGTACCTTCTTCGAAGCCTTCTTCTCTCGAACCTCGTATCTCTCCTGGGACAAGTCAGAGAGCCAAGCACCAGGACTCACCAACTGCATACATAACAGAGAGTCGAATACAAATTCAATCAACAATAACTCATATGAGAAAAATTGGATCTTCTACATTCCTATGATAGAACAACTTACAAGCACACTTCTCTGGATCAATTTAGCCCTTTTCTTAGGCCTCTGAGGGAGCTTACACCCTTTCATCGCCATGAAATCCTCTTCCTTCTCCTTGTTGGACAAGGAGAGGAACAATTTGGGCCAAACAATGGGGCCTTTCTCGTTCTTCATATTGTGATCCAACAACACCTTCCCATTCTCATCCGCCCCCAACGATCCCCTCGTCGTGTAGAACCGGTCTTCCTTCTCTGGCGACGCCTTCCGTTTATTCATGTGCGCCTCCGAGTTCCGACTGATCAATCACAGTGCACCATAAAAATCACCAGTGTGTTGAATGTTGCTCTCTTGCTTTTTAATCAAATCTTTCTTGAAAGTTAGAGATATGGACTGATGGGAGTAAATTTAGGGTCAAATAGTGGTGTAACTGCCAATGTATGATAAACAGTGGTAAATCAAAGGCATCTGCGAAGTGATTCATAAACTTCTGCAGCTTCTCACCACTATTTAATAACCTAACACCATGCCCTAATAGTACCCTCCTTAAATACTCATATCAACAACAGAACAAAAAGGTGAAAAAAGGAAAAGGAAACATCCCTCATAATTTTTCAGGAGAAAAACAATACAAGGGCAAGGAGAAGCAATGCAAAGGGAAAAACTTTAACAAATTCCAATAAAGCAACAAGACAACCAGATTTTGATTTCTTCTTCTTATTATATATATATTTTTTATGTTTTCCATTTTCCCAGAAGTCATTTTGGTCTTACCTGTTGAGACCCCGGTGAGGTGAGTGATGGGATGAATCCCTCTTGGTATTGACGACGCCGTTCATGATTTTCTTCTTCCCAAAAGAATCAGAAGACAATTTGCTGGTGCTGCTGTTATTGTTGGGGGTGTTGTTGGTGGAGGAAAAGTTGTGGTCTTTGTTCTTGACCTTCACACATCTGTGCCTCTTCCTATTCCCCCACTGCAATACAAAATCTGGCTCCTTCGCTCTCTGATTCTTCGCTTCCTTCTCCATCGTCTGCACAACAGAAAGAAGAAGGGAAAGAGGATAAGGACCCAATACATTCGGCCTCTGAACATCTCCGTCAGAAGCGAAAAAAGAGAGGAAATTGCAGCGAAGACCACCAACCTCAAGATCTATAGTCTAGGACCCATTAACGAGATCTTCCAAGCATTCACCAAGAGTCCGAACAGACCCCGCGACGATCAGGAATGCAGTGGCAAGAAAATGTGACTCCAGAGTATCGACTGGTCTGGTGAGTCAAAGTCGCGAAATTGCTCGCCGAACCACACTGATTTTCCTCACGAGCCAGACAGAGCACACCCTTTTGAAAGGAGATAACGCACACCCAGAAGAAGGAGAAGGAGAAGCAGAAACAGGGGAAAAGCTCAGAGCTTTTTCCCCGGTTCCAATGGGTGGGGGCAAGAAGACAAGGTTTTCCCAGCAAAAACAGAGAGACGGCAGAGGAGAAGGAGCAGATCAATGCGAGTGGGTTACTGGGTGTGCAATGGTTTTGTGGGAAGGGGCTAGGGGATCAATGTTTCGGCGGTCTCCTTTGGGTTATCTCTCTTTCACACGCTCTTCCTACTCTGTATGGGCCTCTCTCTCTCTCTCTCTCTCTCTCGCTGTGTGTCTTCTTGGTTTCACCCTATTGCACTTTTCCCTTGTGACTTGGTTCATTATTATTAATACTTATTTGCATTGTTTTCGCATTCGCCAGTAGATGCTCGGCTGAAGCCCAATCTGGGCCGCCCGATGGAAAATGGACGGTCCGATTTGTTTCCCTCCAATTGGTCGAAGGTTGGAGAGGCCCTCTCTCTCTCTCTCTCTCCCTGTGGGTTCTTTCTTGGAAGTTGGGCAGGAAGCGGAGCGGACCCGAGGGCACGTGACCGGGGGCTCGGGTCACGTGACAGCGTGTCGTCTTCCCAGAGAGCAGCAGCAGCATCTGAAGTGAGGGAGAGACAGAGAGAAGAAAAAGGGCAGAAATCTCGGAGGGACTTCACTGCCGTGGATGAATCTTTTGGTTTGTGCTTGTGAATGTCACTTTTGTTCTCTCCTTGCAGTCTTTAGCACCAAAAGGACTAAAAGATAGAAGACCCAAGTGATGGTCATTGCCTAGTAAACACTTTCTCTTCGTGCAAGCAAATGTGAGAATAATCCGTCGCGCTCGGAGTTTAATGAGACGGACCAAAAAAGGAGATTGTGGAAACCAAAATCGTGGGGATGGCGCCGATCCGATTGCTTTCCCTGAGTTAAGATGATCCGATTACTTTCCCCGAGTTATGATCATGCACTTCATTGTTATCATCATCGAACTATAATGGTTAGAACCGGTTTCCCGAAATAGGGTTACCAACTTGGTAGTTGGAAGATACTCCAGATGAGGAAGACTTAGGGACCCATTTACATAATCCGGCGAATAAGACTCCGGGGAGTTCATAAGAATCTCGGGACACTTCTTTGATTCAAAATAATCTGAAGTATCAACCCCAGAAGGAAGAACGAAATTGTTTATAGACGGGTTGCGCATTGGCAGATAAAGAAGTCGGTAATTGAGCACGGACGACGCAAAGTAAGACACGATGGAATGTGGGGGATTATATTGCAAATCGAACACTATACAATATCCACCTTTCTCTCCTATAAGTGCAAAACAAACTGCAGCACATCTCTACATTTCTCTAGCTACAGCATTTTCTCAATCTTTCCCCTTGTGAGGGAAGGAATTTGTGTGAACTATTTGTCATATGCTTTTCGATATTTCCACCCTTTACAAAATAAATAATCCTATTCTCATCTCGAAACATACTCATTTACAGGTTGACCCCGAGTACGCTTGTTGATGCTGGCATGGAGCCGCAAAACTCAAGCGAGATCAGGCTGAGATAGCCTCTGAATTCCATCTGTACAAGATCAACTAGACATGTCTTCATAATGGAACTCGAGCCCTACACGAATGACATCTTCCATGGCTGCATTCCCCTCCAAAATGACATCATCTGAGGTTCGAGAAGCCCGTAGGTGATCTTCAAAGCCATTAAGCTTCTCAAGGCATCTGCTAGACCTGCTGGCACTAAAGACCATAATTTCAGAGGCGGCCTGTCAAAATTGAGATCATGTTAAAGTGGCTTAAAAAAAAAAGACAACTCGCAGATTCTTTTGGTAGCCAAGATTTGGATTTTCTAATAATGGTGAAGTTGAAATCAATATATTAAGAAGCGAAGAGATTAGTCTAAAAGAACGAGAGAATGAACAAGATAGTCAAAAAAAATAAAATAACCTCAAAACTCGAGCACGGCTCATGGTCCCAAAATCTACTTGCAGGCGCAGGTGCTCAAGCCAAGCATGCATTCTCTTGCAGGGGCTTGTCCTCAGCCCAAGGACGAAGCGGCTACAGAAAAGCCACTGATGCAAATTACAAAGCCTCCAGGGTTATCGATGCTTTGGTGAAAACAGATAGAACAAATGGAGCTTCTTCACCGGGATGTATAGTTGTAGGCACAATCGTGTAACCCTTGGGATCAGGATCCAGTACCATCTCACATGAAATCTCTCGTGAATTTACATAATCTGTCCCCCCGACTGATTCGTGTAGGTATATGTTATAAGCAGCACGACGACCGCGAGTTTTGAGTATCCTCATCCCAATATAAAACATCAACGAATCATGACTAGATTGATAATTTCTGAAACCAGCTGTAGTCCTTGAGAAACTCACACCCTACAAGTCCATAACGTCAAAAAGTCAGGTGAAAGACACAAATAGTTAAGAGATGGAAGCTAGTCTCATAATAATCAGCAGAGGTACCTGAGTCAAGGTAATGAACACATGCATTGGCGATGATGCATCTGGACCATTTGCCCTCAAGCGGAACTGAGGATTTTGATGCCAAGTATCATAATCCTGGCATCCACCAGCACTGTAACCACGCCACTGGCCATGGACTGAGTAGCGCATCTCTGGAGGGTAGACACGACAGACATAGATGGATCGGAAGTGTATTTGGAAATCTTGCCAAGACATCCAGAAAATTCCTTCTTTTGACTGCTCAAATACAATAATCAGAGACACGGCATGAGAGTTACGGAAAAGAAACAACTATGAGACGCCAAACAACGAGATGCACTCATCAATCGATCATGTCATGCGGTTTTGGAGTTGATAAGCAGATAGATACAAAGGTAAGAGGGACCACGGTGAAAGTTTAACCTGCGGAATATGTTTCAGCTTGTGTCTCATCCTGTCAGTCCACTCAGGTGACGAATCAGACCAAGGTCCATTCCACTCAACTTCATTGGCCCATGGATTTCGAATTTGAACAAGCTTATGACCATCCACCTCTCTTACCTGGACAGCAGTACAAGCAGGTTATTAACTTAAAAAGCAACACTTAGACATCACAGCAACACCAACCAAATAACAGGAGATACCTGCAACAATGAGTAAGCATGCCCTTGCACAATGCCACTGGAAGAAATATGAACATCGGAACCTGAAGGACTACCAGCACCAAGCAAAAATCCTTCTTGTTTAAACCGCAACAGCTGAGACCACAGCCTACCACTTGCAAGATCAATCTGCGCCTGAGCACTTCTCATGTCGATCTCCTCACCAGCTCCACCTGTAAGGTCTACCAGCGCATCTTGAACAAGCCCACCTTCAAGTGCCTCATAAGAACCATGTAGTTTCGCATACGCCTTCTCTAGTATAGATACCCATAGCTCATTGCCCTTCTTACTCGTGGCAAATGCAGGTTTACCCGGAGATTCACAAGGAATCCAATCATCAACGACAACTGGGACCCACTCACCCTAAATGGGATTCAGAAAATAAAGAGTTATGCCTACTAAACTTCATTCAGTAACAAAAAAATGGCGAAACAGCCCATGGAGGATTTAATAAAAATAAATCCTACATTTAACAAATATACACGTTGGAAAAGAATAAAACCAGACCAAAGTATCATATATCAGAGAAATAGAACGTGGAATGATCACTCCTGCGTAGCACTGTCTCCAAGGTGCAAACATTTAAGTGAGTAAGGCTTCTTTACCAGTTTTAAGTACGCCTTCCAGTATCACAACAAGAAGCAGCCCTACATAACTAGGTCAAGGCCTACTTCCCTCTAGCTACGCAGTGCTACAGTAAAACAAAAACATGAGCACATATTTCTTTACCCCAAAATAGACCCACACATATGATAGGCAAGCATCGAGCATAAAACTGGTAGCACTGTAGGTCCCATAAAGACGTCAACCGATAGAATGTTTCAACACAACCAGCAGCAAAAGCAATGTCATTGCAATAATTAAAAACTTAGTACCTGGATACAGAAGCGAACAGTGTAGATTCCTTCTTCATTATATTCTGGAGTAATAATAACTTCTGATATTCGTGAAACTTCAGTTAGCACCGCAACAGCACTCAAGAACCAACAGTCTCCCAATCGACCCTGTTGAATTTTGACCAACATGGTTCAGGAGGGAAACAATAAAATCATAGATCATTGAAAAGAAACGACTTTCAAGTAAGTAAACAGGACAAATTTTAAGTAAACGAGTATTCTAAACTTGTGTGTTATTTGCAAAAACAGAATACCTGACAAACATCAGATGGATTAGCAGTCCCAGAAAACAAGCATGGATGAGAATCCAAGCGGGTCTCTTTCAACATTTCAGTGGGTCTCATCCACTCAGAAACAACCTATTTAGAAGTTAAAGTTAGTGTACTATCTAACAGTAACAGAACCATAACTGAACAGTACCTAATGATGCAATGTCAAAGGAACCTGTCAAATGGAAAAGATACCTGCAACTTTGGAGGGGGATTTCCTGGATCAACAAATAGAGAATTATCAACTGGAGGAAACTCCTGGTCAGTAAAATGAGTTTCACCTCTTGCAGCAAGGGCTTCTTTGACAGCCAACTCAACTGACAACATCCGTTGATTAATTTCTTCTTGAGTTTCCATCCTAGGTTTCCTGAACCTCCTAGTAAAAGAATCAACATCAACCACCACCCCATCACGTTCTGGCCGTCTTCTCCTCCCGCTTGAATACTGTCCATCCCAGTCTACATCATCCCTATCATACAAATCAACATCGGCAGGGTCGCTTTCCCATCCGTCAACCTAAGTAGATTGTAAGGAGAAGTTAAGAACCACTTCTTTACTAAAATAAGATAACACATCAATGCAAGTAAAACTTACTCTGGAGGGTGAATCTGCCCAATGCCAATTATCTTCAATAAAATCAATTGTGCTCAGTTCAGTTGAGCCAATGGCAGTATGAAGAGATGCCACCTCATCTTCAGTTAAGCACCTTCCCCAAAGAAAAACATCCATGATATGCATCTTCGATTCAGCTCCCTCACTGTCTGACCTCCCGAATGAATCCAAACCTATGGGTGGTCTAACCCCAATCCAGACCTCAGTCCCTTGTTCCCATATACTGTTTCTCACAGACAATGGCAAATTAGGCTGGTAACCATCAAAGCCACCATCCAAATAGCAAGTTGCCTCACCAATGTCAGCATCAATTGTCATGGTTACAATGTGCCACCTGAAAAGCAGTTATGAGAAGCAGCTCAGGAAGCAGGAAATGCAGAACTAGTCCAATCATGAAATCTAAATAATTCAAGTCTTAAATCCAGAAGGGTGGAAACGATTATA